GCCACCATTTGGTTCAGCACCAAAGGCCAGACAAGGCAAGGCACGTCCTGTCCACGATATTGGTGGTACCAATACCCCAGGATTCCTCTCTACCCAAATCCCAGCTCCTGGCAGGGGTGCCCCGTCACAGCTGGCACAGGTGAGCTCTCAGGGAGGATCAAGGTGGAATTTTGCACAAGCATCAGGAATTTGGTGACATGTGGTGGCTGGGAGAGCCTGGATTTTGTCACTCCCTGGGGTTTATTCCCTCAAGGAGAGGGGAAAAGTGCCCAGGGCAGGATGTGGGGGCTCAGGCCACAGCTCTCATGGTCTAAAGGAGGGGACAGTGAGGAATTGAGGAGCTGTCACTTGCTTGTGTGTCTTTCACAACCACACGTTCAAAATTTAAAAAAAAAAATTAAAATAAATATCAGCAAATGAGAGCAGCAGAAATCAAAGCAATTCCCAACATCACACCTGGATTTCCTCTGAACAATACCAATACCCCATGCATAAAGCAAGGCTGTAAAATCAATCTAATGATTTTATTATCAGTTCTCCCCTGGTTTTACTCCTGGTTCCTCTGAGCAGAACTCTGCTGCACCCTCTAAACAAAGAGTCAGCACTGCTAATGGTCATTCCTTCCTCAAGATTTGCCCACCCAGATCACCTCAGCTGGGCTGGGGAGGGAAATTTCCAGGAATTTCCATCATGGAGCCAGAGTTTCCCCCACAGTTCTCTCCCCACAGCTCCAACAAAAACGTGCTGCATCTTCCAAGCAAATGGATAATTCCAACCCTGGGCATAATTAGATTTTTTGGGCAGATGTTTTGTGATGCATTAACAGCAATGCCTCCTCTGGAGCTTCCCTCCATCCCTGAGCAGATTCCTGCCTGCAGGATGAGCTGTTCCTCGGGTCTGGGAGAGCATCTGGGAGCATCCTCCCTGTTCAGAGACACCCGCAGGGAAAACAGCAGCAAGCAGAGAAATCAACAGGGAAAACCTGATCTGATTTGAGAAACCTCTGCTCCGTCCCCAGCACCAAACCTGGCAGAGCCTCACCTTGCTGGCTCCAGGCAGGAGGTGCAGCTTCACATAGGGATCAGCCAGGCCATTGGAATCCATTGGTTTTAAGCCCTATTAAAGGATAAAGGAGACATAGGATGTGAATCCTCCTTCAGCAAAGAGAAAAATGCCCATGAAAAAACACAAAGAGAAAATGTGTTCAGTGACCCAAGAGTCTCTGCCCTGAGCAGCTGTGGGTGCCAGGATGTGCTGAACCAACTCATCCCAGGAAAAATCAGCATTGTAAAATCACAAGATGGTTTGGGTTGGAAAAGACCTCAAATATCACCAAGATCCACTCCCTGCCACAAGCAGGGACACCTTCCACTATCCCAGGCTGCTCCAAACCCTGTCCAACCTGGCCTGGGACACTCCCAGGGATGGGGCAGCCACAGTTTCTCTGGGAGGACTGTTCCAGGGCATCACCACTCCCACAGATCTCTTGGATCCACACAAGGAAAAGCCCCCCAACCCTCCCCAGCCAGGAGCAGCTGTGCCTGGAGCCTCCCAAGGGAGCAGCCTCTGCCAGCAGCCACATGGCTTCCTTCCCATTGCACCAGAGAAACTGGCAGCCAGATGGGTTTAAATAAGGAAAAAGGGAATGAAAAGAGGAGCTCTTGCCTTGGCCTTGATGAGGGTGCAGTGCAGGGAGCTGTTGTCCTGGTCGTAGAGCAGGCTGAACTCCAGAGCTCCCAGCGTGGCTGACAGCGAGGGAAAAGGAGGAAATAACCTCGTTAAAACCCCAGCCAATAACTGCATTTAATCATCCCCGATTAGTAATAATTAGAAAGAT